CCAAAAGAGGGCTACGATGAGGCTATGAGCATATTACGTCAAAGGTTTGGAAGACCTTCAATGATTGTAAGGAACGTATACGAAGCTGTCAAAGGTAACGGCAGTCAGCTTCAAGATGACTCCAAGGCACTTATTGAGTTTTTAGATAATCTTGTGACTTATAAGAATACCTTGATTTCCATGAATTGCATGAGTGACCTCAACTCGAGTTTTATACTAGAAGTAATAGCAAGACGCCTACCTACTCGACTGCAAAGGAAGTGGGTGAAGATAAGCTCCCGTATGGAGGATGAGGGTATCGAGCCAAAATTTGATGATATCCTGAAACTAGTAAAGGATAGTGTCAATCAATCTATGAGCAAGTTCGCCAGTCTATTACATCTCACCCCTAGAATAGAGCAGTCTGAGAGCAAAATGCAATCATTGATGACGAGTAGGCCTCAGAGAGGTGGATATCGAGAAGGCTCCATGATGTCTAGTAATGCATATAGACCTAATGAGTGTAACAGGCTTCGTAGTACATCGTCAACAGATAAGTTGCAAGCTGCAAGAGAAACACGGTTGTGTTGTACACGTTTGCAAGAGGTGCATACAGAAGTGAACTGTGAACCAGTGAGCAAGTTCAGTGATAAGCTAAATGTGAACTCCAGGTCTGACTCCGAATTGTGTGACGATAACGTTGTTGTGAAGAAGTCTGTAGTTACAACTGGTAAGCCATTGTTGAATAGAGTGTCACAGAATAGAGTTACTGCTTCAGAGTGGAGTTCTGACTCCAAAAGTTTACAAGGTATAACTAGTCAGAGTGAAGATATAAAACATTTAATGATTTGTGAGGAGGAACCAAAATTGTCTACTTCTGTTATTAAAGAGTTTGAAAATGATGAACTTGACGGTAAATTGAATATTTGTGGTAATGATCATGATAGTGCAGATTTGTCTTTGGTTGATCATGATGAAATGGAGGGAATGCCTACTACCGCTAAGTTAAATAAAGGTTCTGTAGAACTTGAACGTGAAGTAGGAATAAATGCAGAAGCAGTTGCAGAAGGCATGCATAATTGTGAGACCGCCAGTGTGAGTTTTCAGCATGTAGCCCGCCTATCATCAGATGCTAGTGCTAAACCTGAGATGATAGTAAAAGACAGCAGTGGTGGTGGTCTTGCAGGTAGACAAATTTCTGAAAGTCGAGCAACAACAGCTTCTGATCCACCGCTAACTTCATCAACTGATATCAATCAGTCGTCGTTGGTGTTGTCATCCACAATGAAAAAGACGCCCATCAACTCAACTATCTTGTGCAATGACTCTGAGAGTATTGGTGCGTTTGAAAAGACGAAATATATTGGTCAGTTTAGTGAGGATAAGCCCAGTGTAAAGGAGAGAGTAATTGTTAAATTGACTTGCACGAATAAAAGCATTTCTAGTTTCAAATTACTGTTTGAGTGTTGCTATCTTTGGTGTAAATTACTCTGTTTCTACGCTTGGTTGACCAGATACGTCGTGTGTTTGTTAGTCATCTATGTTCTACGATACAATGACGTGGGCGTGTTACCGTTCAGATTTGAGGATATAGACGATAGAAGGAAGTTAGCAAATGAACTCTGCAACGATTTTCCAACCTAGAGCGTCAACCTGAGAAGGGTTGTAGGCGTACTGCTGTAAGTCCTACAATTCTTCGAAGGGTAGCGCATCAATGAGCAGTCCAATGTGCTTGGTGTGTGATTTTGTACATATGTTCATATTGCATATACTGAATTGATATCATCTGTCATCTAGCTGTTGTTAATCTTGTTTGTGTCCAGACATTTCACAACTTACAATCGTCAACCTGAGAAGGGTTGCAAGCGTACTGGTGTAAGTCCTGCAATTCTTCAAAGGAATTACACCAAGACATGATCGGAGAGGTTGTTTGTACTACTACTATACGCCGGGGAGGCTAGGCTATTGCTGAGAATGAATTGCACACGGAGATAATTGTTAGCTGTGGTCCCACACGCCGGGGAGAAAGAGTGTAAACGACTGAGGCTCGCATACGTCACCGTTACTAGAATTGAGGCAGAATGAGTGACAAGCGATTTCAGTGGTAATTGGTAGTGAGTAGATAAGAGGATGAGCGTAGAGTATCGTGAGGTACTGCCATGGTCACTTTGCATTCTGCAAGAGTCATTCTAGCAAGTGGCGATTGCGTTGCAAGAGGATGCCTTTAACTGGAAGGCGCAGGTCGTCATTGATGTGTGAGATTGTGCTGTGAGTATGCTTGTGGTGTGTTGGCTTTTCTGTTTGTTTTCCATTTCAGCTCTGTCCGTGTGACCCAGGTTCTCGCAATCGCATCCAAGTCAACGTGTATTGGTCGTGAAGGAAAAGAGGGATGGATCCTTTTTTTGCCGGGGAGTGTCAATGCAGTTGAAGATTGAACGATCAATTCTTGCTTGTTTGCTCGAACCAACTTCCCCAATTTTCGCGGAGGCATCAATACGACAGTCATCGTCTCATCGGTCGCTGTTCAGAGAGAAGTCAGCAGTAAACCATCAGAAACCCAAGTAAAAACATTATTTTTATATAAAGAATCGTCGAGTCACCAATCGGTCTTTTGATTTTTTCGTCCGTTATTACTAAGCGTTTCTGAAAAACTGCAAGGAACAGCGTGGGCCCGAGCGTAGCAAGAGCTGGGCATTAACGGTTTATGAGACGTGGCTGACAACAACATAATATTTTACCAATAGACTTCCCCGAATATCTGCTCCTACTTAGTATTTCAAAGATAGCTTCATATACTCTATACCTCACAAATTACGCAAGGGCTAATATTCGGTCTTATCAAGTAGAATAAACAAACGAATAACGAGGAATACATTTATTAATGAATTAACACGTAATACAAAATCGACAACAGTGCAGGTATCTTTTTCTTTATCACCCAAATCCATGAAATTCCCGAAAGTAGATATTATCTGAAAAAGGACATAAGAATTATACAGATGTAGATATTTTTACCAGTGTAAACACAATAATTAACCATTAAATAGGCTTAAAATGACAAAATAATGATTTCAACTGTATATAATTATGTTAGTCAACATTTTTCAATAATGCAAAGTTGATATTCCATCTGCCTGTTAACATCAACTTCATGCCATCAAATAAGGAAATACTATGCATATATAATTTTTATGTATTTCTGCAGATTTTTCAAAAGGAATACATGTGGAGGAGCCTTGTCAGCATTTAGGCAAAGTACACAACAAAGTCAGTGAAATAGTTGCCAAAACGAGCTATCCCACCTCATCATGTCCATGTGTAATCCATTAAACTGCAAAATAAATTCACGAAAAGTCGTTATAACATGTGTCTTCAAGTAAGTAGATATTTTCTGAACGGAAAAGTACGTTATTTTCAACAAACTGTAAACTGCCTGTGACCTACGTCCGGATAAGAACATCACCATATGCTCTTTCTGCTAAATAGGCCGCATTTCATCAACTTTTAGCAGGAATATAGGTAGAAAAGTTTGAAAAACAACGAAAAATGGCCTAACCTTGACGTTTTTCCAATAATAATAATAATAGTGTATTCTCATTTTGTACATGAGGAACGCCAGTTTACAGGCATCATCAATATGATAAATTACATATACGATTAGCAATCATACTTATTAATAATGTTTTAATAAAATACACATTTTTTCCTGCCTGTGCAGGACACATCAAATGTACAGGCATAGATAAGCATTATTTAAATTTCATAAATTTGGTTTATAGTTAAATTACATGGTTGCTGACGTTTCGGTCTTTGGTTTGTGGGAACAATATGATAAACAGTCATTCAATGGAGCACATCATGAAATATAGGAATATTGACTTCACATTAACAAAAAAACCCAAGTAAGTTTTGGATGGATTAAAAATACTTGGGAAAAAATAAAGCTTGAAGTTATTCCCCAATATAACCAGTCATTCAATGTGTAACAACAGAAGACAAGGGCCAGGCAACAGATCGTTTTATTATGAAAATCAATACGTATTTATACATATTTCACATACATTATTATAGCTTATGCAAGTAGACAAGCGCAGTCATCTGATTGGTTGTTTATCAGAAGTTAGGCAGACAAACGCAGGCTTCTGATTGGTTGTTTCGGGATTCCTCGACAAATAGAGTTCTGTATCTGCGAATAATATTTTGCCACGTTAACTTTGCTGTGATTGGTTGTTGAATCAGCCTTGCTCATATTTTCTCACGGCCTGCTCTCATCACAAATGGAGCACATCACGAAATATAGAAATATTCTCTTCGCATTAACAAAAAAACCCAAGTAAGTTTTGGATGGATTAAAAATACTTGGGAAAAAATAAAGCTTGAAGTAATTCCTCAATATAACTTAGGTGTGTACAAATCCGAATCTCATTTTTGATTTATATCCAAATTGGGTAATAAGGAAGCTATTTTTACAGATACGATCAGTTATGTTATAAGCTACAATCGTGACGTTGTATTACAAATTGATACTTTTCCATTGGTATAAGAGTATATTCCACAAATGTAATCCAGGTTGCGTCGTGGGGAAAGTTAATTCGTTATTAACCAGGCAACTGAAAGATACGGGACCAATAATGTTTGCAGATCATTTGTCATTGTAAATGGTCAAATATCCACATTATTCATTCTCATTCAAAAAGTCAAATGGAAGCTGAAATGGTGAGAGAAAAAAGAAGACAAACAACAGCAACGCAAAAGAAAGCAAGAGGAGTCCTTAAGGAGTGATTAATAAATATATACATATATATTCTGTCTAGTAACTATGGTTATTTTGTTCACTAACTAACTAGTCCCGTTATGCTAACTTTTATATTATGTGTGAACTAATATTACTGTCCTGTGTAGAAATGTTTATCATCTAGTTCCAATAATATTAAAATTTATAATTGTAGTTTGTTGTAACTACACGTTTAAAGAACTTAAAATATCTATGTAGGGTGAAAAAGAAGGTGTAAGAGTCAGACGTAAAGTGCATTGTCATCTTTGAGCAGTCTGGTGACTGAGGAGATGAACACTGGAAGTGTGTTTGCATCGCGCACATTAGCTGGTAGTCTATTCCAAATGACTGAAAACTTATTTAAGAAGAAGTTGTACCGCACGTAAGTCTGACAGTGCTCTATAGCAGCTAGGTTGTGATGATTTCTAAGATTGTAACTGATGACAGCGGTAGGTTTAGTTATTGGCTCGGAGGAATGCAAGAGAAGATTAGTTAGCTTATAGTAAAAGATAAGGTTTAGCTTAAGGCGTCTTTTCCAGAGGGGTTCTAATCTTAGTCTTTCGCATCGCTCATGGTATTCCAGACCACTTTCTAAACCAAGAGTTCTTGAGGTAAACTGCCGTTGCACTCCCTCTAATTTAAGCTTGTCATTTTGTTTGAGTCCGCTAAGAATAAACGGGCAGTATTCTAAGATAGGTCGGACACATACTTTGTATAATAAAACCCTAGTTTCACAACAAAAGAAATTGCGTGTTATGCATCCTATCAGCCTTCGTGTTTTACGTCTGGCATAATCAGTCTGTTCAGCGAACGTTAGGTTACTAGAGTATCTAATACCGAGATCTACGACTGAGTTGAGCTTAGCTAGTTTTCGCCCATTTATTTCAAGAGTTAGATCAAGGTTACTGTTGCCGATACAAATCCAGCCGCATTTGTCAATGTTAAAGTTTAGACAGGATTCAGCACACCATGTTGCGAGACTACTTAGTTCAAGATGTATTTTAGTAACCATATCGCTTAATTCATGAGTGTAGCAGGAGTAGACGACTTTGAGGTCGTCAGCATATAGGAATGGTTTGCCTAAGGTGAAGCACTTGCAAATGCTGTTAATGTAGACTGTGAATAAAAGTGGACCTAGGACACTACCTTGCACGACCCCACTTGAGATCTGCCTAGGATGAGACAATACAGATCCAACTTTGGTTATTTGTACCCTGTTGCTTAGAAATGATTTTAACCAGTTCAGTAATGGGTTGCGAATTCCACAAGAGTACAGCTTCTCAAAGAGAATACTGTGAGATACCATGTCAAATGCCCTAGATATATCGAAGTAGAGAACAACGACTAGCTTACGTGCTTCGCGACTACTAGTGATGCAGTTGAAAAAGTCGAAGTGGCAAGTAACGCAGGATCTATTTTTGAGAAATCCGTGTTGAGACCTTGTAACAAGATCTTCCCTAATTAGGTAGTCTGACAATTGATCTTTTACAACTTTCTCCATGATTCGTGAGATAACTGGGGTTATATTTATGGGTCTGTAATTGCGGACGTTTGCCCTATCACCAGATTTGTAATGTGGAATTATGAAGCTAGTTTTCCACTCACTAGGGTAAGTGCCAGTGTCCATAGATATTGAGAAGAATTTAAGAAGTAACAGGGTATATCACACCCACTGTTTTTGAAAATTATCGAAGCGAGGCCATCCGGTCCCGTACTAGTGGAAGGTTTAAGGCTTTTAATTGCTTGTACTATTAACTGATTAGTGAACACAATGCTTTCAAGGGAAGAGATAGTAAGGGGGCGGTTTCACCAGGCATATGTGTTTCTAAACTAAAGTTTGCAAACCAATCACTGAAAGTTCACAGATAGTGGCAGGTTCATTGTAGATTACTTTGTCGTGAAGTAAGTATGGGATTTCCCTCGCCGACTGCATTCGTTTTTTAAGAAGTGCCATTAACTCTTCGTCGAGGTCCTTTTGAGAGCGTAGGCGCTTGATAGATTCAAGAGACTCGTGGATTGAGAGCAATAGTGATATATCCTTAGTGGAATAGTACTGTTTCTTCAGCTTCCTTAACTTATTACGGTGTGCCCTTGGAATATATTCAGTTCGGTGTCTACTTAATTTCACTATTTTCTTTGGAGCAACTGTATCTAGACAAAGGGTAACATTCCTGTAAAACAGGGTTACTAAGGCCTCCAGGGAGTCAGTGGTAAAATAGTCATCCCATTGACAGAGTCGAATAAGTTCTTGGACTAATCCCCAGTCTGTATATTTGTAACTACGACATATTGTGCTTCCTGAATCTTGTTTGTTTCCTGTATTTAGTGGTGAGAAAGGCAGAGAGCAGAGTACCATTCTATGGTCACTACTGGAAAATCTATTACCAACATACGTGGATACTGGGATTGTGTCATGACAAAAAACAAGGTCCAACATGTTGTCACCACGAGTAGGTGTCTGGACGTGTTGTTGCCATCCATAACAGTCGATAGTGGCAAGTAATTCGTCGAAGCGTTGGGGGCCGGAACTAGTTAGCCAATTGACTTCTGGAAGATTGAAGTCCCCTGCAATTATTTTGTAATTAGCACTAAACGAGGATGCGTGTGCAAACGATTTAGCTAATAACGCATCAGTTTCTTTTGTTGCGCTTGGTGCTCGATAAACACAGCCTATGAGAAGTTTGTACTTATCTCCATGTAAGACAACCCAGAGTGAGTCAGGTACATTATTCATTGTTTCATCTTCCACCTTACTGACTACAAATGAGCTATGTATATATATGAGACATCCTCCACCACGCTTGCAATCTCTGTTTGCACGGTGTACAGTGTAATCATCGATACCTATATGCACATCAAGTACAGAGGATGAGCACCATGACTCAGTAATCAGAGCTACAGTAGGCTTGGCGACTAATAATAATGTCCTTAGTTCAGATATCTTATTGATTAAGGAACGTGCATTAATTAGCAATATCGTGAATAAGTCACGGGATACTACAAACTGGCTTAAAATGTCACCATAACCTAAATCTATTTGTGCGTCAGCACCGCAAGAATTTATGAATGAAAAGGAGGTCGGACTGGGTGTCTGTACATCGGGTTGGTGTGCAATGAGGTGGTCCTAGGTGCCATGGGTCGTACCAGTGATTCGGGACACCTGGAAAATTTACCATGTGTTCCTGGATATAAGGGTAGTACAGGTTGGGCCTAGGTTGACGGTTAAAAGGCATAGCATCAAAAGGTCTACCCATCCAACTGCTATTCGTCATACCGGTATACACCTTCGGGTTGTTTTTATAACTTAAAGGGAATTGTGAAGGAAGGTGCTTTGGCTGCAAGACTTTAGGAGTCTTGGAGCCTGACTTTCTATAAGGTGGAGCATGCGGAACACCTCCAGATATACTTATGTTTCGAGAGGAGTTTTTCGTAACAAGTGATGGTTTGTTGGCATTCTTACTCTCAGCAGGCTTATTGAATACAAAGTATTCTTCCCCATCATTAGTCTCAACCCTGCGAAATTTGTTCATCGTGGTGAGGTTACTACGTTTGGGGGGAAATTTCTTAGAACAACTTGCAGAAGTTCTAGTCATTTTAACATCTTTCGATGAGGCTTTATTTACAGGGGTACTGGTATCTAAATCAGTTCCTAGTTCCATTGGCAAGTGTGTTGTTGTGTAGTTTGCTGAATGCTAGTTTCAGCACTAGGTGTCTGTTGCTGTGCACGATCCTTTTTTGGTAAATCAAAGCTAGAGGAGGTGACCAGGTTATTACTACGCATTATTCTGCGCTGACACGGTGTTTTATCCTGAGCTACGGTTATAGACTTATAACTGCTATTCAGTCTTAAGTGATCCTGACATTTAGTAAACTTACTAGCATCAAGGGAATTACTGAATTTAAAAATGATTGGGCAATTAGCCTGGTTAGACTTTTTACGAAGTCGTTTGCATTCACATGGAACACTAGCCATGCCGCAACAAATCAGGATTTTGTGTCTTACAGTTTTCAGGGGCAGAGAATCTGGGACGTTGTAAACTATAGCTTGGTGAGAAGAGGTTATACGCTTCATCACCTCCGTAGCCAAGCAGTCAATCAGATTTTCAGCTTTATTTAGGTTGTCTGGAGATATTTTAGGATGTCGTTTTAAAAGACAGGCTATTGGGTCTAAATTCAAAAGCTTATTTTGAGTTACATCCAGTAAAGACTTAACCTGGCCAATATCAGGACGGCTCTCCGTGGTATTTGAGATTGGCAGTGACATACTATCAAACTGATCTAATTTTTTCTGAATTTCACTTACTTGCCTCTGCATATCTTTCAAAAGGAGGTTTAGTTTACAGAACTCAGAGTTCTCTAACAGAACATCTTTCACCTGTATCACAGGAGTGAGATCTGCACTCAAACCATTTTGAGAGCTAGTAGTTGATACTGTATTACCAGGCGGTAATGCAGTTATAACCGAATTTGAGCCACTATCTAAAACAATTGTGTTTCTACGAACACGTTTTTTAGAGATTTGGACCATAATTTCAAGAATTATAAGACAATAAGCAGTAAATAAATTTCAGAGCAAACACGTGCAAAAATGTCACCAATTTCGAACGTACCGCCAGAGTCTAATGTATGTATTATTATATGTATATATTATATACATATTATTATTATTACTATATACAAAAGTATACGTATATGCTGCACCAACCATGCCATTTTTGTCATGATTAGCCAGACCACTGTGTATATTATACTTATTTAAGGATCTCTGAAAAGAATGGTCAAGCGATAATTGAACTTGCGTGAAGTTATTACCTCTTCAAGACATTGTTTGCATTCTTGACACTCCTGAGAAGTCCTTAGATCGTAATTTGGCATGAATTCGTTGAATTCAGCAAATAAATCTACTGCTATATCATTTCTTTCCTGAGCTGTAATAATTTGTGTTGTCAGTTATATCTCCAATTTGATAAAACGCTCACGGAAATTCAGGACTTAACCAAGCAGCAAAATGATGTTTGAAATTACCTCAACTCGAATGACAAACTGTCCAATCACAAGCGAGCGAATCGCTTGTTTATCTCATTCGCGGTCACTCAAAATTACGTCCGTCATAACGTATATCCTCACCCTTTCAAGAGTTTATTATCCTTATCCGAAGACAACTCTAAAACCGGTCCACAGCATCTACCAGCAGACGCATTCCAACAGTGAACGCTCCCTTGGATTATATTGATAATTTGTAGCCGCGGACTTTAACGTTATAACCAAGTGACCTTTTTAATAATATAACGCATTACTGCATTTTTTGATTGTATATATTTACCCTATCATGTCATTGACTTGGATTTTTATTTGCATATTTGTAATGTTAATGAGCTCTCCTTACAGTCCCCTTGTTGCGTGCGTTTTCTGACTAAACTGCTGTACACATATATTCTATGTATTTCTTCGTTCTTATTGATGTGCGCAGACGTTGTGGCTACTCGACTCCCACAACGTAAATCAAAAGGCGCTTGCGAAGATAACGAATGTGTATTACAGTAGTTGTCAAATTCGAAATATGTGTCAAGGTAATGTTCAACAGTAAATTGATAAATATTTGTGAAGTACATATAAAATGGGTCTGTATACACATATAATACAAGTATACAAATTAGATTAAAAAGCATGTTTACTGTTGGTATAGGGGGGTACTACACCCTACAGGTATCACTCAACCTCTACTTTTACACCTTTTTAACTCTTGCACATTAGCTACTGTATTTTATCACTCCCATACAGTTTTTTCTGCGTTAATCCAAAAGGGTTGTCAGATTGCGAAGGGAATTAAGAGCCGTCAGTGGGGCAAACGGTATCCCAATAAATTAGCTCCTTGCTATTTTAGTTGGCAAATACATGAACTCGTGTTGAAAGTGAGAAAAAGCCATATTGTCTGATTCACAGTACCCTCCCTATTCACAGCTCTCCCCTTGGATCTCATCAGGTAGGAGTAGAAGTCATTATAAAAGGTTATATGCTTGGTCAACAAAGTATACAAACTCAACGGTACCCTATTTGGCCCTCGTTCTGTGTGACGGCGAAAGTGTTAGGCGTGAAAATTAAAACTTACTAAGTAATAAGCAAAAATAAATGGATGTTTGATCCTCTGCTGTTTGTGGTGAAATTATTTCTATTATTTTGTAGCTTTAGCAATTGTCATTATAAATACTTTATACTTTTTTCACATTTTTGACTTTATTGTTACTGTGAATCTCAGGAGGTTACTGTTATCAATTTACTAATACCGTGTAATGCTACTTTGACTAAATTAGATACAATATTGTACCAAACGCTGAAAATGCCATACTGGATCATAAATACCATTCTGGAATAAAGCAAATTAATATTATTATTAAGAATAGCATTAATACACCTAGGTAAGAGGTCTCCTTAGGAGATACAGAACTGCCTAATGTTAAGGGAAGAAATGTGGACAAGATGATAAGACAAGATGGCAATCTTAAAATCTAATATAACAAGTTGGAAGCAGAGATTGGTAACAGAGGCTTTATCTATCCAACCAACTGAAAATACATGAAATAGGAATGATTCAGCACCTGTCCCTGGCATCCAGAGAATTCTGCCACT